AGAAATGTTAACAAATTCAACCTACATTCTAAGGGATGGGGATAATAACATTTATAGGCACTTTCCCTACATTCTAGACTCAAATCTGCCAATTAACGTTTCTGTCATATTGAAAATAGTGTATTCTGTTTGTCCTCAAACTTCTATCAACGTTTTAAACGACTAGAAATCTAATTCACTTCCTATTAAAATTGGCATAATGCATTAAAGAACATGGAATTATTGTTATAAATATTTCTGTTAATAATAAATAGCACTCGCAACATTGGCGCTTGGAGCGCGTTTCGATTTATTATTTGGTTTTCCAACTTAAATGTCTATTAAACCGAAAAAAGAAGAACAATCACACTTTTACCTGAAACATAAGTGGTGAAACCTAAACATGGAAACTTCCCAGTTGGGTCTTAAAGGCAGACAGCAAAAATCCGAAATTTATAGAAAACATAATATTAACCATAGTACGGAGGAGGATGACCAGAAGGTGAAGCCCCGTTGGGATCGGATGATGGGTACATATATGGGCTTCCACCATAACCTGCGTATTGAGTTTGCGCCTGCGGATTCTGCCAACCACCCGTTGGCGCAGGAGCTGAAACTCCGGGAGCTTTTGGGGCCACGAGCAGGCTTAGATCAGGCAGTGTGTAGTCTCTGCTTTTGTCACTAAAAGCCTTCATTCAAACACCGGAAATACAAGAACGAGGAAAATTAGTTAAAAGCAAGAAAGTTGATTTCAGATTTCGCTGCGAAATGTTCAAGAGAAAATCAGCATACGACGGTTTTAGCTGCCATCCGTTATTATTCTCTTTATCCAAACTTGTTTTTTTTTTTCTCTCAGGTACACAACTCAAGAAAGCAACAAATCTTATGTACCTTTACATTGAGATCAGTATGACGAGAGTATGATAGTCGAAGCTTACAGTAGCCGCCGTCATATATGCAGTGCCCTTCCAATGCTTCTTTGGCTATTGCTGCCGTCGCTATATCTACAGAGACGAGAAAAAAAAAACATGAAGCAAAAGATGATTCAAAACAAACATGATACAAAAGATGATTCTACTTGAATGCTTAGCATAGCCAATAGCCATAAGCTGATTGTATCATAACCGGAAGATGTTCAGAATTCATAAAGGGGTTAAAGCTGATCACAACCAATATTAGGGGATCATCAAATCAAGGGGATATATTACCAGAGTATTGAATTAAGGCTTGCGTTGAACCATTCTTCTCAAAGATAGCAATCTTCTGGACAGTTCCATATGCGGAAAACACCTATGAGAAGAAACGGACATTACTAATCTTTGAGAGATTTAGCATGTTGAGAAGCAGAAATGTGCATGACTTTTGTTCCTTACCGTGTGAAGAACATCCACAGTGACAGCATACTGCATATTCTCAATCAGAGCGAGAAGGACGTTGCTCTGAGATTCTACTTTCTTTCCGTCAGCACCTAAAGCAGGCTGAAGACAGTGACATTAAAGATGATCAGTAATTTAACATAGCACAGTCAATGTAAGAAACGAAGAAAGTGGTGGAGAGAGAGATATAAAAGGTGTGGGGAGGGCAAAGGAAAGAAAGAATTACCTGCATAGACCCATCTATTGCGGTATGATTCACTGGAAGGTATGGATTTGTGTAATCCCTGAGGACGTAAGACAATCAACCATATTAATCAACTATTTTAAAAACAAGGTTTTCAAAAGTAGGGGCAGTATATGCAGTGGCGCATTTGAAAAGTGTCAACTCTACCTGCTTCGGTGGGACTGAAACTTGATGTTTAGATCAGTATGTGCTGAATAAGACATCCGCAAATTGCAAGAACCAACATGTTCAGGAAGCAAATATCTGGATTTAGAGTTTCAAAAAAAAACAAAAGAAGAAATCATCAATAGAGCTATATCTTAAGGCGATAACACATGGGTTGAAGGCGAATTTGAGCATGCCTGGGTATACTTCTGCCATCCAGCGCAGTCCTTGCCGCTGATGCAGTCTCCACATCACTAAATTGGACTAGTGCCTGGCAGGTTATCAAGTCAGATAATAGTTTAATATCAATTTATTTTCTCCGTAAAGACAAGACTTTTGAAACGAGTTTCGACATCTTACCTGGAAACCAGCAGCTTTCTCAAATGTGGCAATCTTGTGCACAAATCCAAAAGCAGAAAACACCTGAAACAAAAGTTTGGACTAGAAATGAGTCATAGCCATAATACAGAGGAGGGAGAACAAGTAAAGAAAACCAAATCAATCGAAAGAAACACAAATCTTTCCCGGATTGGGACTAAAAAAGAGAAGCCCAGATAAGTACAGAGTGACACCTGTCCACTTATGGGCATGATAGACCATAGATAGGAGAATGACGAACAGGATACTATTTTCCAAACTCTCTCCAGAAAGATTTTAATAAAGAGGCATCAACATCTGTGATTCGAGCATTTCATTAATGTTGATACATATACTGTAATTGGAATAGTATGTCTAAAGTAAAAATTACTCAAATCTTTTTTCCTTTAACAAGTTGAAATCATTGCTCAAAGCACAACACACTGCCTCATGTATTATCTCACCTATGTAAAAGCATCAATCTCAAACCAATTCCCAAAGAGAAATACCCATTGATACAATGAAAGAAGCTCACACTCAGAGTCATTACCGAGTTAATAGACTTACCAGATGGATAACATCGATGCTGACTTCGTGAGATTCCACTCCTTCAAAGGTAACCAAGAGGACATTCCCCGGGACATCTCCAGGGCTCTGATTGTTTACTATCTCATGCCTATTTGAGTACTGAATATAAACAGTTTTCCCTCGAATCTGTGCAGGCTCTGAGGATGAAGCATAATACGAAACCATTGATATAGCTTGATTCAAGTCAGCCTGTAAAACCAAATCAATAATAAACATCACCAAACCGATACTCAACAGCAAGCAGAGCCAATCAAAATAGAATAGGGTTTCAATTTCAAACAGCAGTTCCAATTTCACCAAACAAAATCGAAGAAGAAATCTTACAAATTCGACGAAGGCTTGGTTGCGATTGGCGCCGACATTGCTCTTGGTATTCACGATCTTGCCGAAACGTTTGCATAGATCGATGAGCTCTTCTTCGACGCATTCCCATGGAAGATTCCGAAGGTGCACCACCTTCGACGGAGTCTGCGTGTATCGGAACTGTGTTTGGCCTGAGCTCGACATCTCCGGTGAGGATTGCGTTGGATACTCGTCGGATTTGGTGAAAACCGATCACACAAAGAGAGCAGAGCAGAGCCGTCGCTTAAAGGAAACCTCGATTCTCTAAACAAATTTCTCATCGGAACCATACAGCTAAAATATCAGGAAAATTTGTAAATTGCCCCTCAATTTTTATATTGTTCTATATTCGCCACTGATAGTTTACTGGAAAAAAACATTTGTATTTCCACTTTTTTTTTTTAATTCTTTAGTTATAGACTTATAGTATAGAAACATCATTCCTCTCCGATTTCAGTTTTTATTATGAAGAAAAAAAGTTTTTAAAACTCTCCAGGGGTTTAAATGAATGATGGATAATAGAGGGAGATAATGATCATAACTGAGAGAGATTGGGACTTTTTAGTAAAAATTAAAAAAACATACGCAAGTGTTGAAGACAAAAAGACCGGTTCGTGTAGTAAAACCCTAGGAAGAGAGCTGAATTTACAATTTCGTCAGGGAAATGAAGAGTCGCATTTTCTTC